ACGATTAGGCCGGAGAATCCTGTCTCAGAACTCCTGCTTTTTGACTCTGTGTCTTTCTGTCCTCACCACTCTGCCCCCGGCTGAGTCTCAGTGAGGCGTGGGGTCTTCCTGTGTGGAACACTTGGACTGTCACACATCTACCTCCTGGAGAGCGTTCCTTATCGAGCTGGATGTTTAACTAATTCCCATTCATTTAATCAAATGCTTTTTTTAAAATGAGATCAATGTAACTAACAGGTATAAACAGTGTAACGGCTCAAAAAATTATTATTCTTTTATTTGGGGGAAATAAATATGAACTTTTTTGTATCAGTTTTTGATTGTTTTTTTCAGCCCGTGAAGTGATGTTTGTATAAATTGACACGCATCATTTTTATTTACAGTTATCCCCCCTGATTAACTCTCATCGTTATAAAATGTTTGTCACCAGAAATACTTTGTGATATTGTGAGCTAATCTGCCTTACTTTACAGGTGATCCCATGAAAAGTAAAACATTAAGTACAGCACCAGAATGTGTCTCATTAGTGGCTAAAGAGCAGTTTTTTTGTGACTTTTTATCTCGGATGAGAAAAGGATTGCAGCCTTGAACTGATGGCAAACAGAGATCAACACAAACAGAACTGAACAAACTCTGGCCTTGCTTTTGGCCGATCAGCAGGTGCTTTACACTAGACAAATATTTCACTTAGTGATACAGAAAAAACACAGACAAACGCATGTGGAATTTAGAGAATCAGTCTTATCAATTCTGGGATGTTTTTATCTTCTTTTGGCTGAAAATATATGGTACAGGTTCCACTTTAAAGTGGGTCTTGGGCTCTACGTGCATTTGCAGACTCCGTCTTTATATCTGCTTTTAAAACTCTCAGCAGTTCTAAAAGCAGATTCAAAGATGGAGTATGTGACAGATTACTTTAAACTGTAGTCATTATTTTCATTAGCTCACTTTTGTGAAGGTGTGAGTAAACATAATGTGCCTTCCTATTGGGCCGTTGCTCAATTATGAAGTGGATGAAGTCAAATTGAATGCAAGTATAAAGTGAATGTGACTTTGCATGTTTAAAAAATCAAACCTAAACACTTCAGATCCCAGGCAGTCGTAGTTGAGATAAGTCATTCCCACAGCACACGTTTGAAAGGCAAATATTACATGGAAGTGGACTATGATCACATGCACGCTCACTATACATCCAAAAAAAGAAAAAACACAATCACTAAACCCACAGAAACTCACAAGCTCCATTTGAAAACGAAATGTTATCTAGGACCAACAACAACAATCCTGATAAAGGATCAAATATGGAATTAGACTCCTACAAGGGGGAATAAAAACAAAAAGGAGAAAAACATCTGTAACAAAAAAAAGGCAATGACATTTAATAAAAGTAAGTACATTAAAAGCTAAATATTTGTTTGATAAAAACACAAGACAAGTGAAGCCATTTCAGACACACAAAAATGATGAATCGTTTTCATAAATACACAAGCTTCTCACCAGGAAGTTTACTTATAGTACAAACAAGCCATAACCTAAAATACATTAGAAAAACATAAACAAATAAAAAATACCTACAACAAAAAATAATCACTTCTCCCATGAATGGACCATTAGACACGGTGGATGCTGGAAGACTGAGGTTAGTTTTAATCTTACAATGATAAATCTTTCACATGTGTACCACCCCCATTAAAACACAAACTGTTAGCATGCACATTGTTGTTGCCTAAAGAACACCTCCCACCGCAGTCAGCCCCCCCACCACAGAACGGGACCCCCGCTGTCGGAGAGGATGTTGGATGGATGAAAAAGGGAGTAAAAACCACTGTGAATTATTTTTTTTAACTAAAATAGATTATCTATTTTAGGGTGTCAGTGAAATTCTACTTTAAAAAATTGTGTCCACATCCCATTTTTGAATCCAGGCTGAAATCAGTGGGGGGGCAGCAGGCCCAGAGGGGGTGTGTCCAAAGCTTCTGAGGGGCTGTGTGGATGAATCATCAGCATCTCTTCAGAGGCTTTTCAGTACGAGTCTTCAGGAGGAAAAAAACCGGGAGGGGAAGAGTTCATGTCTCCAACTGGCCCCCAGATCAGGCCGGCCAGGGGAGGCCAACGACTCACCAGTAGCTTTGACTTCTCACATGATGAAGACCTAGCAGAGACTCCTTGTTCCTTGCATGAGATTACAGGATGCAGGATCCTGGTCTCCTGCAGTTTTTCCTATGGGGAGCTCACAGGAACAGGCCATTCTGCACCTGCTGCGTGAGCTTATCTGGGTGTCCCCGGTTCTTATTGGGAATCACGATTCTTGACTTCTTCAGTGCTCTCATACTGAGAGACAAACAGCTAGATACGGGGGGGCCCGTCCCCGACACGGTGGTTTAGAGACTAACAGGTCTGGGGATGTCCTTCTGGAACACCGGGATGGGGATCTGAACAGACCAAAAAGGTGTAAACTGCCTCCTACGTGTTCTCAAACATGTCAACGACTCACAGAGCCTTCCATCTAACTGTTTTCTCTCTTTTCTTTATATTATTTGCATAATTTCTGTTGTTTTCATTGATAATTAAATGTTATAAATCATGTATATAAAGAGAAAAGTTTTAGTTTTTTTCTTTAGCTTCACAAAAAACTTGATTTTAGAAGTAGAATGAAAGAAATTACATCTTTGAGAAAAAGTTTAGGATCTCTGGTTTGATGCACTTTGCTGTTTTAAGAATAGAAAGCTTCCCTACTTGAGGTATGATTAAATTTAAATACCTTAAAAATAACACTTTCAAGTGTGAAATATAAAGAGCACACATTTCGATTATCTCAATTTTTTTATTTAAATAACATGCTATTTACAACAAATACTTCTGTTTTATTCATCCTTTTCTTTTTCCTCCAGCTTTTTCTCTTCCTGTCGTTCCCGACCAAACTCCACCACCAAAGGTTTCCCCAGCAACCGGTATCCGTGTACCAGCCCTAAGGCATTCTGGGCCATTTCAGTGTCTGCAAAAGGAAACAAACACATTTAAAGCCTCGTTCATAAAGGCAACGAAACATTCCTGAACGGCTCATGGACACATAATACTTCCAAGTAATGTTTCCGTTGAGTGGCGTTGTGACAGAATTTGGAATATCAGCCATAAGGTTCCAGTCATAATAAACATAACATTGAACTAAGATAAAATGCCTTGATTCAACACTCCACAGAAATGAGTCCCTTTTTTCCTGGGAATTACTGAGAAGGCTGTAACTTACAAGCTACCAGAAATAATGAAAGCCAATCAGCATCATCGACCCCTTCATCCAGCCTTCACAACCTGAGGAGAGCTGAATCCTCTGAGGAGGAATACTGTGGGGAATGGAACACTTTTTTGCTCTCTCTAATACCACTGGTCACATAATACATAAAGCAAGAGGTGGAAAAGCCCACAGAGGGTTTTTGACAGTATCTGAGAAAGAGATCTTTAATGGCAGCTGTGAACGATTAGTCCATGTTTTAGATTAGAAATCGCAGATTTGATTCTCAATTTTGTGGTGTTTGACACCGATTGTCTTTCAGGACATGACTGAATGGAAACAGATCCCATTAGTGTCCAATCATTAGTGAAAACGGTGTGCCTGCTTTTCATCTACACATCTAGAGAAAACATTACAATCCATCCATCCATCTTCCTCCGCTTATCAGAAGTCCAATATTTCTAAGTTAACTATTATAAAAACACATTAAAAATGCTACTGGAGTGTTTTTGCTGTTGATCACCAGCTCATGTGTTTAATAGAGTCCCATGCCCCCCCCATGGGGGCCACCTCAGTCACTCTACCAGTTATGAAGGGTGTTGCTTGTCATTGTTATTGCAAATATCATCTAGCTTCACTCAGCTTTTGAGACCACGCTAAAAAATGAGAGGCTCCACAAGTCTCCTGATATGGCCAGAAGCAAAGTGAAGACGGCACTAAGAGATATCAGAGTGGGCGTTAGGCATTAGAGCATATAGGTGGATACCTCAACTGGTTAGAAGGAAATAGAAAAGCTCAAGTTGGAAATGTCCAATAGGGGCTGGAGCCTGTCCCCTCCGTCACTGGGCACACACACCCCAGACAACGTCCACACACTCACATTCACACCTCAGGGGGCCATTTTGAGTCAACAAATCCACCTAACATGCTTGTTTTTGGGCTATAGGAAGAAGCCTGGGGACCTGGAGGGAACATGTGTGGACCCATGGAGAACAGCAAGCTACCACCCCACCGTGGATTCCTAACAGGAAGTGTTCTGCTTAAAAAGTAACGCTTTGCTTTTCTTTATCATCTAACCACCGTTTCTCACCTGACAGCGTGATAAAGGCCTGACCCTTCATCCTTCCTGTGAGCAGGCGGTAGAGAACCGGAGGCCCGCCTTTCCTCTCAAACCTGGAGAACAGCTCCACCAGTTGGGCGACTGATGCTTGTGTACTCAAGTTCTTCACACACAGAACCTACAGGGAGTGGAAAACCAAAGGAAATTAATCCACACATTCAGTTGGTGAAGGTATTTGTGGTTCTGCTCCTTTCTCCAAAAACTTTTTTTTAAATTTAGCATCTTCAAATGTGTGCTATTAGTGAGCAAATGTAGACCTGGACTTTTTACCGACTACATCACATTAAAAACAAAAATTGCAGAGTTACTGGTGGAGTTTTAAAATGACGTAAATCCGGCCTCAGATGAACAACAACACATGCTTTGTTACATATTTTTGTGTGCATTCAGAGAAAATGCAACAGGAGCTGTGAATAACCTGTGCTGGCTTGTGGAACCACCTTTAACTGTACTATTCTGGATGAAGTTATCGGCCCT